CATTATTATGTATATTGTGCTCACGATACAGAGGGGTATTCACTAAGAACTGCAAAGCTTCCATAATCTTTGCGGGGCTTATGGTATCGATCATGTAATCATGATTGTATTCCAAACGCCTTCTAGCTAAACATGTTTTTGGAAAGTTCTCTTTAACAATAGCATTTTTGCAAGTAGCACAAAAATTGTAATTTCCATCATCTGAAGGAAATTTTTGCATTAAAAAGAAGGCGGATGCAGCATTCGGGTGACCTTGCGCAATAGTTTCGAAATTTAATTTGCGAACTTGGTGTGAAAACCATAAGCCGCCGCAGTAAATACATATTTCAGTAGGGCCCATATTTATATTTTGGAAATAAATATTTTTGAAATCTGTTAAATTGCCACTATTATCAGTTTCTATAACATTATTTTCTCTCGTTAATCGGATTCGTTGGGACTTCCTTTGGTTTTCAATTTGTCTATTGAGTGGGTTATCTCTACGAAGGCGAACTTGACCTTGTCTAAGACGTCTCTGATTCAAAATTTCTTTCCTTTAACCCCTCCTACTAAGCTGTCGACGTTGTGTTCCTATATCACGCTCCTCTCTCTTTATTTCAGGATTTCTTCTTGCATGTTCCCTTTGCATTTGATCACGAATGCGCTCTAAATTCCTATACTCAGGATTTCTTGCGCGAAGTTCTCTATGATCCCTTGTGTTCCTACTTTGTTCATCATAACGTACCTCAGGATTTTCTCGACGAGACCTATGACCTCGAGTATCTCTTATTTGCTCTTCAAAGCGAATTTGGGGATCTTGTCGCCTTGTTCTATGGTGAACCGTATTTGCAACTTGCTCAACAGATCGAACCTCGGGGTCTTCACGCCGAGACCTATGACCTCGAGTATTTCTTATTTGTTCTTTAGAGCGAATTTGGGGATTTTGCCGCCTTGTTCTATGTTGAACAGTATTTGCAACTTGCTTAACAGATCGAACCTTGGGGTCTTCACGCCGAGACCTATGACCTCGACTGTTTCTTATTTGTTCTTCAGAGCGAATTTGTGGATCTTGCCGCCTTGTTCTATGTTGAACAGTATTTGAATTTTGTTCAAAATACCGTACCTCGAGATTTTCCCGCCTGGTTCTATGTTGATTTGTATTGATAATTTGTTCGGACAGACGTACATCGGAATATAATCTACGATTAGCGTGACTTACAGTATTTTGTGACTGCTCACTATCTCTATATAAAGAGTTTGCACGAAGAACAATCATACGTCTTCTATTCTGAAGACGACTTAGTAATATAGATTTTCTACTTAATCTAGCCATAATTAATTAATAATAAATGGATTAATATATAAAATACTTATAGATATTAATATTACTTAGCTATTCACTAACATAATAATACATAATATTTAGTTATATTTATATTTTAGAAATTAGTAGTTTATTTCATTGTATTGAAATTAAGTTCTCGGAAAACCCCTCTAAGAAACTTTTTTACATTGTTGTCTGGTATATTTTGTTATAAGTTCAACATGATGGCTGCGAAAATATACTTATCCACTGATTATCACCAAATATTAGAAGAAATATTTGTATATAGAAATCTATATATATCTCGATTAGTTTTAGGTGATGCAAACAACCGTTTGGTGAACAAAACTATACTTTGTTGCACCATGTTGCGAAGGTATAAAAATGTTGCGAAAGAATTCAACATTTATCACTCGATTATTATTTGGTATCTTATTAACTTATGTTATTGTTCATAGATTTATTTTGTGTCAATACTATTTTTTTTTCTCCGAAATGTTAACTTTTATAAAAAAAAGCTATTTATATTTAACTCAAACATGGTATATCTGATATATAATATAATCACATCAGAAATACGGAAATCAGTATATTAGGGTTATAAGGTTTAAACAAAGTCTAGACCAATTTCATTCATATGCAGCGATATACATTATTTTTAAG